GGGAGGCATACTTCACCACCTCTTCATTCCCCCTATTTTATTTTCCTGTTTGGGGGTTGTTGAGTTTTCTGCTGATTCTTTGTTTCGCTGTTTCGATCCGGTCAGGCGAACATCGAGTCGTCCTCATTCACCATTTTGATCTGGTCAGGTGAATGTTGGACTTTATCTTTTGTCCTGCTGTTTCGATCTGGTCAGGCGGACATTAGACCTTTTGGGAAGCTCATTATTCGTTGTTGCGAATATGGTCAGGTGGATATTGAGCTGTTCTCATTTGCTGTTGCGAATATGGTCAGGCAAATATAGAACTCCCTCCTTTTTCTACTCATGTTCACTGTTTCGATCTGGTCAGGTGAGCATTGAGTTTTTCTCCATTCACTGTTTCGATCTGGTCAAGTGAATGTGGGGTCTTCTTCTGTCCTGCTGTTTCGATCTGGTCAGGCAGACAGATGATTTCTCCGTATTTGATTACTCTTCCTTATTGCTTATCTCTGATTATCGCTCTTTGATATTTCCTTTATTTTTCAAACTATTATTGGTTTCCCTTCTTTCCGTATCATCTTAGATATTCGTCGTAGGTGATCGTTGAATTCTACTTGGTTCTTTGAGATTTTTCCTTCTCTTATCTCCCCACTTTGGTTGGGTAGATGATTGACTTGTTCTCTCTCTCTTTGATTTGGTTCTCATTAGTTGACTGCATTTTCTTAAAGACTTTCTTTGGTCGACCTTGAGGTTGTATCTTCCAAGAGTTAGGAAGGTCAAGGCCAACATATCCGGGTCACGCATTGTTCTCCGCATATGTTGGGGGTTCGTTTGTTGACCTCGATTTTGGCTCGATCGTGCTCGAGCTCTTTCGATCGATTTAATCGAACCCCGTCGAGCCCAATTCGAGCTCGAATCGACCCGACTCGAGCCGGATCAGACTCGAATGAGTTCAATTAGACTCGATTAATTTGTTTTCGTCGCGTCGTATTTAATTTGATTTGAATGGATCATTATCTTGGACCCAATTTTGTTTAACCAATTTTGTTGAGCCGGCTCGAGCCCGAATTGACTCAAATCGAGCCAAATTTGGACCCGACTCTAACCTAATCTTAGCCCATTTGATCCGATCCAGTTCGGTTTAATCCCATTAAAATGCCATTCGACTTTCTAATTTGTTTGAATTCTTTCCCTAAATCTAGTAAATGGCGTTGACGGCCACGATCAAACGAGATCGTCGTTTCAGCCCATATCCCACGTCTCAGTTGATTTCTGCGATGGAGGCAGAGATCGAACAGAGAGCAAAGCTGTTTAAGGAATTTTTGAAGGTTGGAGCGTGACGACGAAAAGAGGCGGGCTTCCTCTTCCGGCAAGATGTTTTGATTTACACGGAACGAAGGTTCCGGGCTCGGCATTGACGCTCTCCCTCTCGTTCTCTCGATCTCCTCCTGTTCGAAAGGCCTAGACGAACGAGCTCTCGCGCCCGACTTCCCCTCCCGATTTCTCCTTTTGTTCGCAGAAGGAGTCGGTCAGAGCTTCCTCCCTCCTGTTCGCCCCAGCTCTCTCTCCCGAACTCTCGCTCCAGCTCTCGATCCTGTCTTCCATTCTCGCCTAGACCAAGCCCGGCGATCCCGTAGCCGCCTGGACCGAACCCGACGATCCAGCAGCCGCCTGGACCGAACCCGACGATCCCGAAGCCGCACGCCCGGACCGACCTGGACTTCGTCTCCTCTGTCTTCGCCGACCGACTCCAAGCCGCAGGTGAGTATCTCCCTTCTTCTCTCCTGCTTGATCTCCCACTTCTTCTTGTTCTTCTTCTTCTTCTTCTTCTTCTATTGATCTTCCTCTACCTTCCTCTCATTCTCTACTCAAACAAAAAAAATCTGAGAACTATTCTTATTTAATTGACATTTTGCTTTGCATATGTGTTTTTTCTTTTAGATGGTTATTGCATAAATTTTGAGTGGTTTTGTGAGGCTTTGTGGTGTATATGTCATTACACTCCTAGCCCCATGGGTTTCTAAGTGAATGCCCCCATTCTCTATAGTAGATTTCATGATATCATTGAAACTCTTTACAAAATTTGAGAACAAGATTGCTTTGAGTTGTGCTTGATTTATTTTTATAGTCATTCATGATTCATGATTATTGAGTTTGGAGATGGGCATAGTTGTGCTTCTCTGATTTTGGATGTCTTTGTGGGCTTTGCATGGATTGTGGAAGGTCATGAAATCCATGTCATTTATTATCAAAGCATGTATACCAAATGTTTGTGATAATGCCTCAAAGAAAAGTCATAGTTATTTTGCTTACATTAAAGCTCTACTATTGAAAATTTCCTCAATGCTTTGTCTAGAAATTTATCAATATTTGAAAAATAAATTTGGTTATTTGATGAAATATGGATAGAGTTCAAAGTCATTCTCTCATGAACTATACTTATTTTATTCAATGCTTATGGATGAATATCATGTACTCTAGAAGTATGATGGTTGTCATAGTTTATCATTCTCAATAGAGCTTGAGAGAGGTTAGTTAGAATGATTGCTTCATGTGCAAGGGTTCTTCCATATGTATATTTGTTTTAACCATTATACAAGTGGCATTGGCATTATATCGGTGAAATGTGAGTTTTCTTGGGTTTGAAAGAAACAAGTTATTTTAGTACACTTTATTCAAGTTGTATCGTTTAGGTATTTGCATCTAGTTGAGTCAGGCATGTACGAACTTTTGCTAACAAAGATATGTGGATGGATTTATGTGAAAAGTTAAGATGGTCATGCTTCTTTTGTATTCTCGATGAATCATATGGAGAATGTGACATTTATTAGCAAATACAGTTGTGATAGTTGTTTTGACCTTAATAAGAGTAACATACAAATGAATGTGTTGTTTCATGATTATTTGGAAGGCGAGCTCACTTGTTCATTGAGAATATGGAGTCGGTGCTTTGTCATTACCTATTTCATTTGATGAAGGATTTAAAGTCCTATGTTTAGATTGTTAGGGACCATGAAAAATGCATAAGAGTTTGCTTATAAGTATTGTTGGAAATTTTTCAATGCCGTTTTACGCTTCTTATAAAAATGCATGTGGATCTTATGGAAGTCCAAAGATTGAGTGGAATATGGTTGTTAGTTTAATGCCTTGAATGTCTTTGAAACCATAGTTTAATGATACTTTCATTCATACTAAAATCGTTAGTGGAATGAGTAGAGATTGCATCATTATAAAATTTATTAAGCATATGGATACATGTATTTCTTGCTTTTTCCGTTAGAGTACAAAAGCATAACTTTCATATTAAATTGGTTTTATTCGATTCGTGTTTTAGTTTAGCAATGAAGCGTTGGATATGACATCCGTTGACAAATGATCGTGTCGTATTCTTATATTCGAAAGTTTCATATGGGTATTTAATTCACTTTTGAGCTTGTTTAGAAAGATACGGGAATTACATCGAGACCCTATATTTAATGAAATTCATGAACTTGTGATAGGAGAGCTTGCTCATATGTATTACGGCACATGAGGTGAGGTTTCCAAGTTGATTTGGGAATAATTAGTATGCAGTTTTTTTTTTTTTTTTTTTTTTTTTTTTTTTTTTTTTTTTTTTTTTATTTGGGAATAATTAGTATGCATTTTTTTTTTTTACAGTTTTTAGTGTTCTGAGCTATTTTGAGAAGAGCAAAGTGCAGATTTTCACTATTATTAATGTCCGAACTATTTTGGGGAATAAATACATGCAGTTTTTTTTATGTTTTTAGCTTCTAAATTGCTGTATGAATGTTACAAGTGCAGTTTTTCATAGTTTTTTTAATGTAGTAGATGTCTGCTTTTACTTGTTTATGCTCTAAAGTATTTTTGGAACGGATTAGATGCATTTTTTTTTCTATATACTCATTAGTTATGAGGCTTGCAATATCACATACTTTAAAAAAAAAAAGAGATGTTTATGAGCTTGAGTGGAAGCTTTTATTAAGCTTTTGATGGTATTCGAAGCAATCTATATTATTAGAAGCATGTTCAGGTTTAAAGTTCGTAACATGGTTTGATAGCTTAGTGAGAATGTGTGACTCTGGAAGCAAGGACCCTTATGATAGCTTGCTTATAAAGAATCATGTTAGCATTGCATATTAGTTATTTGATGAAATACCATTAACAAGAGGTGGTAACTTGCTTGATTCATAGGCTTTGAGTTTCCAACAGATTGTAGATCATATTTCAAATCTTGAATGAATATTTCTTAACAGATAAAAAAAAGACATGCCAATACTTTTCTTTTGGATATGACATTCATCAACATATGCATAGGAAAATATTCTGTTAATGCAAATGCTTATGACACATCTTAGACCACATGTACAATTTATATCCGGTTAGATGTAATGATGCTAAGCATTTCTCATGGTTTACAAAATAGAAAGTTTTTTTTTTTTTTAATGTTATAAGTACAACGTGGAGTCATGAATAATTATGCTTTTGTGAGGATTGTTTAAAACACTTTGACTACACTTTGGCAAATTTGTTTAAAATGCAATAGTTTAATACCACATGTTATCTTGTGTTAAACTCCCTAATGAGCTCTTTTATAGATTTGTATTGTAACGAGACTCCTTTTTTTATTTTTGTAATAATTTTAGTTAAACCATATGAATTTGGTTATTATTTGTTAGCAATGAATATTTGAAAACCTTTTGAGCATGATATTGTCTCTCTGCATTTCGTATAAATGATTGGAATAAGTTTAAAATATTTTCTTATTAAATCGAGTCATGTCTTCATCCATATTTATGTGAAATGTTGTAGTTGTTTTATGGGTCGTCGCTAGGTGTGACATTTGAGTTTCTTTTAAAGAGTTTTGTGAGTCGTTTTATACTTAGAAAGTTTTTTTTAATGAAATGTTTCTCCTTGCTTTTATTGAAATTTTCTTACGAGTCACTTTGTGTTGCCAATTTGGAAAGTCGTTTTTGATTGAAAGACGTCTTGTTTTGCTTTGGTTAGAATGATTTATTAGTGACTTTGAATTTATTTTAAAGGGACGACGAATTTAGTGAAAGCCTTACAATGAGGAGTTTTATAAGACTTTCTTGTTGCAAAGTTTTATATTTTCATGCCCCACTCCAAGTTAGAGAAAGAGGCACTTGTTTATTTGTTATTTTGTAGGGTTTTGTGTCAAAGAGTTTGGTAGATTCCTTTTTGTAAGGGTTTGTGTAGTATTTAGAGGTTCTTACAAGTCATGTTGGGTTTGATTGGACCTATTTAGCATGATCCCTATAGTGTCATTTAGGAGTGACTAGTGCTTTCCTATTTGAATTGAGTTCTCTTAGTGATGATTTCTAAAAGAGTGAGTTTTAGAGAGTTGAAGCTTTGAGGGAGCTTTATGTTTGTAGGTGCTTAGTGTCTTTTTGGGAGCAGGATGGGATTGCCTCCCCTTTATGTTAGCTTATAAGGATAAAGAGAATGTTGGATAGGTTCAAAGCAAGGTGAATTTAGTTATAAGTCTAGTTTTAGAGGTTTTTTTTTCCCTTAGTCGTTGTAGGGTTTGGTTTAGAGTGTTATGGGTAGATATGTCAAATGTATCAAGTGCCTCGTTCGGAGTGGGAACAGCAAAGGGCATTGTTAATGTGACTTTTGGGTACACTTGACTTCAACGAAGTGTATCCAATAACAACAATGCCTATACCCCTTTTTGTATTTGATTTTTTTCGTTAGTTTTCTCCGCCATTTTCTTTTATGTTTTTTGGGGTTGCATGCTTGTAAAATGAGGACTCAAAACACAAACGACTCAACCAAGTAACAAAGGGTATGTTCTTGTCTTTTTCTTACAGCACTTTCATTTCCTTATATAATTATTCGCTTATAGAATTGTTCTAATACACATCTCCTTTATATTGTGCGAGGTACCTATTGGAGAGCAATGGATAAGGAGCGCTGGAGCACTTGGAGAGGGAGCTAGGATAATCGGATCCGAGCATCAGTCGTCCCTACCATTCCGGTAGGGGCACTACGTGCGGAACCACCGGGTCGTAGCCCCCGATGCTGTAAGTTTACTAAAACTTAGAAAAACCTTTAGGAGCCTAGATGGTTGTACGCCTCCCACCCTTAGGGCCTTAGAAACTTCAATTATATATTTAGGATTGCTTTTACCTTTTTTTTAGATCACTAAAATTCTATGACATCCGTATAGAAGTCTTAGGAATTAGAAAAACAACATCACTTTTAGTCCTACAACACTAGTGACATCTAAGGACAAAAATTAAAGACTGAGTCTTAGAAAACATAGACTTAGGGTGCATGTTCCTTATAGGATTGAGACTTTAAAACAAAAAAACCTAGTGACACGTTTTCCTAGATTTGGATTTTATTTTTCTTAATTCATTAATAATCAATTAACCAATTTTAATCTAATTTCTAAAAACCTATTAAAATATTTAATTCTTAATCAATTTGTTATTAACATTTGTAACTATTAAATTCTAAATCTAAAATATAAACCTAAATCTAATTCAACTAATTTAATGATGAACTCTTAACCATCTTAAGATTTAAAAGAATTAGATTTAATTAGGTGATCAAATCCCAAATAAAAATTCATTAGGGTAAGATACTTATAAATGTCAAACCTTAGTATAATTTCTAAAATCAATCAACAAATATGATTAATAAAATATTTAATCTACCTTTTTCTTCTTTTTTAATAACAAATTAAAATAATCCAACAAAGTTAATTATCACTGGGTAACCCAGGCCTACGAGGTTATTAAGTTAGCCCCAAGGAGGGTGAAATAAACCTCACGACCTCGGTGTGAAATAAAGGTGGTAGTTAATCAAACATTAAAAATAAAACATCCTAAAAATCAATCCTAAAATATTAATATTTAAATTTTAATCTAAAATTCTTTCCTTTGCCATTCTTAACAAATAAAGAAAAAAATACAAACAACTCTAACTAAACTATCCCATATAGGACCTACCAAAACCCCACAGCTTTCACACACTTAGATGAGTTTGATAGGACACGACTTTTAGCTTTATGTTAGAATGTTGTTATTCTTTTCTTTTCTGTGCTGTATTGTGACGCTCTGCATGTGACCCGTGTGCTGTTTGTTTTTGCTACTTGTTGTAGCTTTTCTGTGATGCTTTTCTGTGACGCTTTTTCTGCTCTTTTCTTTTCTGCACTGTGGTTGTGAGCGTTAGAATACCCATAGGTTAGGGACGCTTTTACATACTAATGCTGTCTTCTTGCAGGTGGTCGTGCTTACAAAGCGCTAAAAAGGGGGCTAAAATTAATAATAATAAATGTATAACTGCTTTAGGTACCTGCTTCAGCTGCTTAGCCCCCAATAATCAAAGCACGGCTAAGTGTGATTTACTTTTCAGCATTTTCATATATATAACTGCTTGGATGAGTTTTTATTATAAACTGCTTAGGATAACCCCTGCAGGAGAGTCTAGATTTTCTATTTTTAATAACGTAATGTATTTGATAGTAAATTTTGTGAAAATCATTAAAATAAGGCATTTTTAAAGAGATAGGAATCCAAAGGGAAAAGTAAACCCCCCCAGAGGGTTTCCTTTTTCATTTGGATATCCTTTTGGAGCACTCACTACGAGGAGTCCAAAGGGAAAAGTAAACCCCTACAGGGGGTTTCTTTTTTTATTTGGGCATTCTTTTGGAGTATTCACTACAAGGAGCCCGAAGAATTGAAGACGATCCATGGACGAATCAAGGAAGTGAAGAAGAAGGCTGAAGATATAAAATGCCTTATTTTAAGATTTGCGTCATTTCCGTGTTGTTGTCGGTGGAGCCTGACCACCATTACTTTCTGTACTCTATGATGTAATATTGAATGGCACTTGCCATGGACACTCTTTTCCGTGGAATTTTATTATTTCTGTTGTGTTTTGTTTACTTTGATTGCGCAGTAGAACCAGCATGCTTTTCTTAGGTTTCTTTTCAGCATGTGCTTGCGCTTGACCGTTAGGCTCTTTTAGGATAAAAATTCTTCTACTCGTAATTAATAATAAAAATTTTAGATTAACTCACATAGAAACATAATGATTCTAGGAAATAGCCGGAATCATCCGGGGTCGCATACATGCATTCTCTCTTCTTTTAGACAAGCTTCCCCGCCTGCGGGTAGAGTCCGGATAATCTGGCCTATGAGGATGAAGTGCCGGACCTGGGGAAGTTTAGTCATTCTCAAAAATTATTTTTATAAGCCTTTTGAAAATTTCATACATCCTAATTTGGAGACTTTAACCAGCATAAATTGCATTAGTAAATAATTAAAATCAAAATTTAATTGCATTATTTTTAGAAGCATTGTACCTCTCATAAGTGGAGGATCAATTAGGGATTTCTTTAGTTGTCGATCTCAATTTCAGTGTCTAAACTACCCACCCATCTCTCATACAGACCGGATAGCATGGATTTTACACGATTATGAGGTTTTAGCTGGCTTCCTTTGTCAGGCAAGAAATAAGTCCAGGACAATATTAGTTAGGTCGTAGATGTTAGTGTTGTGTGTACAACACTACATCTTTTATAGATTTAGAGTCTAAAGGGGGAGGGTACAAGTGTACTTCTATACACCTTATTGTTGGGTAAGTTCTCCATTCTTTCGGGGACTATAAATCCTACCTATCTGCGTCACACAGATGACGCCGCCTCCCTCTTTCTCTCATGTTTGTTTGAATGCGTGGCCTCTTTCATTTCTCCAGTTTTTTTCTTTCCTCGGACCGGCCGGATGTTGAATGAACCATGTGTGATTGATTAAGCCAAATTGGGACATTCCCCTTTGATTAGGAAGCCTAGAAATCCCCTTGCACTAAACCCATTAGAGGAGATAATCTAACATCCTTAATCGAGAGTTTTCCTAAGTCAAGGCTTAGGATGTAATTAACTACGGGGGCTTGCGCCCGTAGGAAACCGATCCCCACAATCAAATAAACCCTATTCGATGCTGATGTATCGAATAGGGGAAATCTCATGAACTTTTGGGTTATAGATATTATTATCCATCGAGGTGCGTACGTAGGTGAAAACCCGCTATCCTCCATGGCTAATCGTATATATAGCTCCATCTGTTCTTCCATCGGCCTGCTTGTGTCGATTGTAAAGGCCTACGACCATTTTGTCCTACGGGATAGTGTGATCGTACCCTTTGCATTCGAACCACACGAGCAGAATCCTTTCAAGGTAAATACTAGTGTATGTGTGCGCGCGCGTGTGTATGCTATTATATCTTATAGCTCATGATAATAATTTTGGTTTTGTATATGCAGATGGTTCTCAGTGGAGAAGCCCAATACACAAGGCAGATTGTAACTGTTTCGAAAGGAGAGGGAAATATCATTGCTTATGCGAAACCAAAATATCCATTGGTATGGCAGTATGGCTTGTTGACTTAAATTTATTTGACAGTACACCTGATTAATCTGTAAAACTAAACTTGGTCACTTGCTGCTTGGTCAGGTGATGGGTAGTGATACCTCCACTGCCGAATCTGGTTCAGAAGCAGAAGATATTGCCTCTCCAAAAGCAGTTAAGAGCTATGCATCGTGCCAGTGCTTAACCCCTGTGCGAGAAGAGGTAAGCTTGACTGTCCAGCACCATGCCACTTTCAACAACTCCCTATAACTATGAAAATGTGATGGCGGGGGTTGTGAATTACTTTAATGCTTTTGGTTTCTTTGGATAACTAGTTTTGAAACATATACAAATTTAATTCTTTAGGAAAAAAATTGTAAGCCCTCTTTTTCAAACTCTGTTTGTTGATTCACCTTGTTCCAAAAAATGTTCTTTTTTTAATTGTCTGCTAGCCTTTAAATGGTTGGAGAAGGTTAATGAAGATGATTATGCAGTCAATTCGTTATGCTTTCAGTTTTTATGCATATCAAAATTTACATAAATCCAAGGTGTTATTATGTTAAAGTTTTCTTTTAGAAGAATTATAATGTTCAACTTCTTTTTTTGCGACAACAAGTAATCTCAGCCATTATCCAACTTTTATTTGAGAGTTGGAGGGCTCCATAATTTTCTGATGAGATACTCAAGTATTTAATAGGAGTCGAGCACAAAATCAATGAACAAACAGTAAAATTCAGCAAACCCACATTTTTTTTTTTTTTTTGATAAGAAAAGAAACACAAACAAGCAAGGTACAATGGTCCTCTTTCGAGAGGAGGATCTTCTCTCCCAAATCCTAGACGTCGCTAGAATCCCTCACGAAAACAGTGGATAGCAAAACCTCACTAAATTCTGCATACAAAAATCATTACCTTAACCCTAGGGTAAATTGATTACTTAAAGCAAACAATAAACATCAAATACCAAAAGAGCTCTCAAATCAGCCCCAAATCTACCCTCTTAAATTCGAAAATATTTCCTAATTAATCCCCTTCTAAATGAACCCACAAATATGCTCTTTTTTAATTAGGAATTATTTTCTAATTAATCCCCACTCAAATCAGCCCCCAATTTTGCCCTCTTCGATTAAGAAACATCTTCTAATTAATTCCCCTCCTGGCCGCCCCCTCCACCTTGCATAAACCTTGGGCCCCACCTTAATTTGGGGCGGAATCCAACTTGGCTGGACCCTATTTCTGCATGGAGTAAACTAGGGCCGGTCCTTCTAGACATCCTGGATCGATTCCTCCTGTATCGGTCTAATAGTATTTCAGCATTTTCATGAGCTATAGAAATATGTATGTCACTTCTCTTTTTTCTATTCAATGTTGTCTTAAAAATTGTATTAGGAAGTAAACGTTCATTTGAGATTGGGTTCCAACTTGAATAGTGATAAAAAAATTCACCCAAAATAATACATTAGTTTATTTCCAAGAATTTGGTGAAATTTTAGGAAGATCATTTTTTTTTGTCAATTAAAATTTTGTCCAACATAGTAGAGTAGATAAGGCATGTTTCTTCTATTCTTAAATTATTTTGTAAAGAATTTATTGAATAGTAGCCCACTAGTATGAAGTAAATATTCAATTGTGATCGCATTTGACCAATTCTAATCATCTTGCGTTATCAATAGTTTTATCATAACTTTTTTAGGTTGGCTTTTCAAATCCTCCTCCATTCTAGTAGAGTGCTAGATTAGTTATAAATACTAATTGTGCTACACAATCATGTTACCTTATGTTATCACTTTAGAAAGATAATCACTTTTTTTTTTGCAACTATCTTCCACCAAAAACACACCACCTCCAGCACAATACATTCAAATACATTAGTCCTTCACAGTTCAAATCACCTATTCTCACAAACTAGCAACTCCACAACACATATGCAACCTATCCAGTCTCAATATTTTGCTATAGTGAACCGAAATTCCACAACCATTATCATTTCTCCCTTGTTTCTGTATAGCTGCAACCACTTTCTTAAGAAGCCACACCTGATTCTCTCTCCCAATATTAATTTTACCAACTCACGCTGTCATCACTCGTACTCTATCCATCACTACAAAGATCCACATAAGCAAACATAATCCACCCATGAATCTACCTCATAGTCATGGTCAGTCTATCTTAGGTATGTCTAGGCTTGTCAAAACCGGGTCACGGGTCGGGTTCGGTTCAACCCGAAACTGACTCGGGTACATATGGGTCAACCCGAACCCGACCCGTTTTTCGAAACAGGTCAGTTTGCTGGACCCGAACCCGACCCACTTTGGGTCCGGGTCAACCTGACCCGACCCGTTTGACCCGAAAAAATTAAAATTAGTTTTTTGTATTTAATTACAAATAAAAATATATACCCTTCAATTAATTGTGAAACAAATTTTTAAAATGTACAACAAAACATATTATTTACAAATTAGAAATCAATAAATTACAAAAAAAATTACATATCTTTTACAAAAAAATTACATATCATTTACAAATTAGAAATCAACAAAATGACCAAATCGTCACTTTTCCCTTGCTCAACCAATAAGCACGGCTCAACTTCAAGTCTTCAGCACTTTACCTATATTCAAAGAACAAGGAAGAACTGTATTATGCGAAATTAACAAGTTAGATATGATGCTCATTGCTCAGATTAAACCTTCCAAAATCTTTAATCACCTTATGAGGTGTATGTTCAAATTTCAATCAACATTAGCATATTACCATCCAAGGAGACGAATTGTATTTTGCATTAAGTTAGTATCTATTCATTTATATATGTAGTATCTACTCATTTGACTTGAATATAAAATTACAAATGTCTTCTGGTTGTAATAGCATTTATTCTAAAATTATTCGGTTATTCCCATTATAATTTGAGAAGGTTGATCATCATCGCTTCATAACTTCAAAACAACAACAAATAATATTTAATGCTTGATCAAATATTCAAATGAATCATAAGAAGCAGCAGGATACACGAAACAGCACATATCAAAATATCAAATGAATCAGCATTCAAAAGAACCAGCACAGAACTGAAGCAGCTGGCAGCACATGCACCCGAAAAAACACAAGTTTTCCAAAATGTTGAAGCTCAGGATAACAGAACTATCCAACACAGCACAAATTACAGAATATGCTAATATTCTGGATCGTGTACAGAACTGCAACAAACAACCAAATAAAATTTTCACAGCAATAAACACAGCAACACATGCTAAAGTTTACCAAAACAACTAAAGTTTTCCAGCACAGCACAGAACTGAAGCAGCAAGCAATAGGTAACCCGAAACCAAACACACTTACAGAAATACAACATTAAAGAAATAACTGTCTTTCAAGTTCAACATTAAACCAAACTACCAAAGTACCAAACAACCAAATAAAATTTTCATATAACAGAACTTTCCCCAGCATTTGTCTCAAGTTCATTTACTGTTAAAGTAAGGACATCTTCAGTCACAGCTTCAAGCTCAGGATCATGTATAACTGCAACAAATCAACAAATAATAATATGTTTTTAATAATTCAGCTCTTAATTACTAAAGAAAGTGCAATTATATAAGTAAAAGTTTAGAAAAACTACACCCTTATCCCCGTATAGCCAATCCTTGTCACAGACCAAAGCCTCAACGATATCATGTTTTAGTGCACTCTGATATTGATCGAGGATTCGCCCACTATTACTAAAAGCACTTTTAGAGGAAACATTTGATATGGGAATACACAAAACATCACGTGCCATTGCAGAAACCTCAGGAAATCTATATTGGTTGGCTTTAAAAAAATGTAAGATATCAACTCAATTTTTCTATCTATTTTTGTTTCATTAAGATACATCTCAAATTCTGATTTTTTTGGCATTTCTACCTCCTCAAAGGAATCAAAATCCTGTTTTGGAATGTAAGAAGTGAGCATTGGTGCAAATAAGTTAAGCCTCAAAGGATTCATATATTGTTAATTAAAAAAAGTTATACCTGCTGAAATTGAGAATTTATAACAGTGGAAGAAGAACGACTTGTGCATTCAGTATTTCGTCGTTCACTTACATTTGCCGGAACATTGACACTATTGCTTGCATAATTCGAGAATAATGAGAACAAACTGTCTTTCACCTTCTTTACCTCAAACACATAATCACCCACATATAACCTCTTGTAGCACCATTCTACAAATGCGAATTTATATCTCGGATCAAGAATAACTGCTATTGCAAGAATGACGCTAAAATCATGCCAATACTTTTCAAATTTTGCAATCATCCTTCTACACATTTGTTTTATATAATCATGGCCCTCTATCAATTCATGTTTCAATGTAGCATAAGCTGTAGATATGCATGGAAAATATAGATTTGTCGTTGGATACTTCGTGCCAGAGATAACAAACCTTATATCATAAAAAGGTTTCAAGAATGTTGAAATTTTCTCTACTCTTTCCAATTCTGAATTTACTAGACATGTTTTGAAGTTGGACTCACCCAACTCTAATTGTTGGAAAGCCCTGTGGTAATATAGAGCACTTTCTAACATTATGAAAGTGGAGTTCCACCTTGTAGGAACATCTTGTCTTAAGCCTCTTTTCGATTCCAAGCAACTCTAGTTCACACAATCTAAATTTTTTTGTTTCCTAGCTTGAGATCCCTTGACATATTTTATGCTCTCTCTGATTTTTGAGATTGAAACATCAATCTCCTTCATTCCCTCTTGAACAATAAGATTAACAATATGAGCTGTGCATCTAATATGCTATAGGATTAGGTAACATCTCAAAATGACCCCAAACCTTGGAAGTCATCCTTCTACGCTTCTTAATTACGACTGAACAATCATCACATGCGCCATCAGATGCATCTAAACCCTCTACCACATTGTCTTCAATGCGAACTTCATCATTTTCTTGAATATAATTTTCAGGAAGTGTGTTTGAATCCTCCATCTATTGCAAAAATTATATCAAATTATGCAAATAAAAAATGATAATTTACCTTAAAAAAATATCCAACACACAATTTACATATAGCACACTTCCAACAGGCAACAACCAACAGGAAACAAAAAATTTCAATTGTCAATACACTCATACACATATACACTAATAAGTGAAAATAGCCACAACTAATAAGGCCGATAACAGCCACAAGACCGACAACCCACAGGCAGCAGCCAAGCAGAATAAATGAATAATAGATATTGCAAATTTCAATTTGCCATAACAGATAATCAAAGCCACAGATAAAAGCTCAAAATGTGAAGCCCTAATCGGTATTTCAAAGCCACAACAAGTTTAAATTGGAAGGAAGAATCGAAGAAGAAAATAACTTAAAAAAAAACCACTATAGTCTCTACTCTGTAGCAGTAGCAGTGGCTCCGTAACAAAAAATCAAAAAAAAAAAAAAAATTGCAACACTCATTGCTTGACTTCAATTATTCAAAGATAACCGAAAGAAAGTTAACCAAAAAATCAAACCAATGAGGCGATGAGCCGATGAGTCAATGACGAAGAATCAAAGAGGCGCAGAGGAGGAAATCTCAGCGAAATCGGCCAGTCCTAGCTTAGAGTTTTCTCGCTCGAAGAGAGACGAAGTCACGACTCACGAATGATGTACTCTCGGTCTCGGTTAATGGCTAGTTAATTGCCCTAAGAGGGTAAATTTGTAAATACGAAAATGGGTCGAAACGAGTCACTTTCGGGTTTACCCGGGTTGACTCGAACCCGACCCGAAATGGCATACGGGTCAAAACACAGAACCCGAACCCGACCCGTTTTGGGTTCGGTTGGCCCTAACCCAAATTTCTCGGGTCGGGTTCGAGTCGTGTTTTCGGGTCGTGTCAAATGTTTACAGGCCTAGGGGTATGTCATTGCCAAACCTTCTCTACAAAATATTGTTCTCTTTTAAGGGGGAAAAAATCCTTACTTCTATTGAACTAAGAGGAAAGCACGACCCCAACCTCCTTTGCTCGAGTTAGTATCAAGTACAAAACACACTTTGCCAACTTTAATTTTGCACCTGCTTTTGCTGTAGCCAGTCCTGCATCTCGTGTTTTCTCCCCAAGGAGATTTAACTGCGTCTCTTTTCTTTAAGGTTTGTGCTTGTTTGATTATCATTACTACCAAATCAATCACACTGTCTGCCCACAATCTCTTCCTTGTAGTCCTTGACAAATCCATCGCTAAAATCTACCTCAACAATCTCCTTTACTCTTTAACGATAATTGTGGTACTAACTTTTGCCTTCACCCCAATGAGATTTAACTGTCTCTTTTCTTGAAGGTTTTTATTTGTTTGATTAGCATTACTTCCATATCAATAACACTGACCGCCCACAATCTCTTCCTTGTAGTCTTTGACACAGCCATCGCTAAAATCTACCTCAACAATTTCCTCAACTCTTTAACGATAATTGTGTTACTAACTTTTTCCTTCACCCTGAATAAACTATCATTAATCTCAATTGACTCTCTCAAGTGATACTTTATTCAATGATCCTACTCATGACTTCTCTTACATGAATCTCGTTGTCAACTATTTGCTTGTGATTGGCACTTTTATCTATGATGGATCAATCATACTTATCTTGAGATGCTAACAATCTTTGGGCTACAAGAGCAACAACAATAAAAACAAAACCTCTGACTAATTCATATATTGTCACTATTATTTTCAAACTCTAGTTCGCATCTTCTATGCTAAATTGAGTTTTCTATTATTGTTATCATATTGTTGAATTTTTATTATAATGATATGCAGTTTATTATTATAATATTTCCTTATTATTGAGGATGTTATCTTTTAATATTTTTTGTTAATATTCTCTTCTCTATGTATGCAGGAGCTATTACTTGTGTTCAAACACAAGGTGGTTTGACCAAGTATTTCTCTATTTTGGTTGGGTTACATCAAGGTTAGCCTTAAGCCCATATCTTTTTGCTTTAGTTATGGATGTTCTCACTAGACATTTGCAAGAGGATGTACCTTGGTGTATGCTTTTTGTTGATGAGATTCTTCTTGTTGATAAAACTAGAGAGGGAGTTGAAAGTAAACTTGAATTATGGAGGTCAACATTAGAGACTAAAGGTTTTCGCTTGAGTAGATCTAAAACGGAATATATGGAGTGTAATTTTAGTAGTAATAGACCTAGTGAGGGGATTGTGACTTTGGGCGATCAAGTCGTTAATAAGAGTACACGTTTTAGATATCTTGGATCTATTGTTCAGAGTAATGGTGAAATAGATAGGGATATTATCAGCAGAATTCAAGTTGGATGTTTGAAGTGGAGGAATGCATCGGGCTTGTTGTGTGATAGAAAATTACCTCTCAAACTTAAGGGAAAATTCTATAAGATGGTAGTGAGGCCTGCAATGCTTTATGTTGTTGAATGTTGGCCATTAAAAGAGAAGCATAATACTAAGTTAAGTGTGGCAGAGATGTGGATGCTTAGGTGGATGAGTGGCTTTACCCTTAGAGATAGAATACAAAATGGGCATATACGTGAAAAGGTTGGAGTACCTCCAATAGAAGATAAGAATAGAGAGAGTCGCCTTAGATGGTTTGGTCACATAAAACGGCGGCCTTCTAACGACCCGGTTAGGAGAGTAGTGGTATTAGATTTGACTTATGTTAAGAAAGGTAGAGGCAGACCTAAAAAGACTTGGTTAGAAAATATTAGGAATGACCTTTCTTTATTAGATTTAAACGAGAATTTGACCTTTAATAGGACACAATGGAGAAAAAGGATTCATGTAGCCGACCCCACGTAGTGGGATAAAGGCTTGTTGTTGTTGTTCTCTTCTCTTGCATATATAAGGTTACCTATATGCTTGTCCTAATATAACAATCGAATAAAAAGGAAGTCCATTATGCCTTCTAACATTTAATTTGAATTTTGTTATTTTTTATATAATTCCTTCATGTTAGGAAAAATATGCCCTACTTCCCCATGACATTATCACGTTTGTTCCATAGAGAGTTGTTTATGTACAGAAAAGGTACCAAATAACTTCTTGAGCAGAAGTTGTCATATTATGCTGGTAATTAAGCACTTTATCTGATTCTATTCATATTTCCTTGTCATTCCATTGAGCCAAAAGCGATGCGGTGGCTTTTGCTTTGATTTTCAGAATTAAAATTGTATAACATAATTGGTTTCATCTGCTTTCCTCATTATAAAGCTTTGTTATTGAATGCATCAATGGATAATTAAAGCCCAATTTCTAATCAGTATCATCAGATATTTTCCAATGCAAAAAAGCTTGTGTTCTATGATTTATCAATAGGGAAGCTCGCAATGTAGGACCGGAATCACCAAAGCTTTAAGAACTATAACATATTAACATTGTAGAAAGTAACAAGAAAGGTTTAGTTATTACTTTAAAATAATCTTTTTCTAAGAGCTTCTTAAGCCTTGTAAACATATTCAATCAAACTTTAGTCATTCAAAATTAGTCTAATAAGTTTGAAAGTTTTTATTATAATTATTTTTTACATTTTTATTTAGACATGATGGAAAATGTCTTTTTTCAGTCAAAAGTTTTTGGGAAGTGCATCCTTCCCGTGGAATCCTCGGAGCCTGAATGTATCTTGACAGTTGACAAAGCTGTCGATGCAAAATGGAAGAAAGAGAACACGAGCAGGAGGGAGCAGGAGCAAGTCTGAGTCAAAAGGTTTGTAAAGTGAAAATTTAACATTTTTGAGGCATAGAACTAAGTTTTGTATTGAACAAAAACATAAAAAGTGCCCCTATTCCATGCTCCATGTTCTTTATTTGCTAATATAGCATGCTTCATAATTATACTTTTGAAATATCTGGGCAGTTTTGCAGCAAGTAGTTTGCTATGGTGTTAATTTTAAGTTTTTAACCGAACCACCTTTCCAAATTGAAGCAAAGTTAGAATCCTTGCTAGAAACTTGTATGAGTAATATTTCAGCAAAATAATGTCCTGTACAACTACTGTTTTACTATTGGTAATTTTGTAGGCTCTGTTGTCCTTCGTGTCTTCAATTGTGCTATGCTATATAGCGATGTGTGGCATTGTCCTGTTGATTAAAGCAATTATTTGGTAAAATCATCTAAAATGCTTTTAAGAGTTGTGATTGTTTAGGGTATAGGAAACTGTTGTGAAACTAATATGAGTTGATAGAATGATCAAAATGGGTATAGTTTGAATTTTATAGAACTATAATATAATGTCCCCATCATAACTATTCCATTACTTAATTATCGATAAAGAAAAGCTAAAACTCAAGAGAGGAGAAACAGAACAAAATTCTATACCGAGAAGAACCTTAGTTGAAGAACTTTTGACCTCTTTTTATTTAGCTTCTTGATTGGAGCAACAATCGCAGCAATTTCAACTTCTTTGCGACGTTTAAGAGCCTGGTCAATCCTTTGAATCTTTCTTAATTTCCAATAATCTACTGCACCGTGATCTTTCTTTTTTCTTAATTAAACTTCTCTGTTCAAGGAGCATAGTGAAATCTCTTTTTTTTTTTTTCTCCCTCGATGGGCTGGAGTTCATCCTGTGGATTTGTTAGATGACGTATTAATGCCTTTGATCAAGGCAATGTGACTACACAAAGGCAGTTACACGTTTTTTTTTGTCTATACATGCATGGCTGCTAAAGCTGCACATATTGTATCGATATGGTAATATTCAATTAATTAGTGATGTCAAGATGATTGACAAATCTGAGGCAACAAGTTGAATGCTGAAAGAATACTATAGAGTAATTAGGATACGTAAGTATAATAGAGGAAAGAGGAACTATTCGCTTAATGAGTGGAATGAGTCTAGTGTTCCATCCTTCCCAGCCTAATGTAACCATCCTCTTTGATCTAAGCTGAGATTTCCTTATTCTATTTAATAGTGTTCATCTGTAGGCAAAGATTATTGTCCAGTTTTCAATCCATATCTCCATATTCGTTATGAAAATAAAGAAAAAAATTTGCTTGGTGCAGGTTCATCAGCTATTTTGGTTGATGTGAAGAAGTATTCAGAAGGATTTAGAATGCAGATACTTGCATATGTAATCACCCTATATACATTGCTCTTTATGGTTATCAGCCATGTGACAAAGCAGCCTCAGGAAGAAACTCCTGAATCAGATTGGCATGATGCAGCATTATTTCGGGGTTCTACCTCTAAGGTGTTCCAGCCTCCATCGCCTGCTCCTGGACTCAAAGATGCTGACCTCCTGTCATCTGTTCTGAAGAGGCTTGGTGAACTGGAAGAGAAGATTGATATTCTTCAATCAAAACCATCAGAAATGCCTCATGAGAAGGAAGAACTGCTTAATGCCTCCGTCCGCCATGTTGATGCATTAGAAGTTGAACTTATTGCCACAAAACAGGTATAATGCAAGGTCTTAAAATTTGATTATGGTGAATTACAAGAATAATTAGGCTTACAAAAGAGTTGAAACAATGAGTTATCTAAATGTGAATCAATTTTCAATACATGAAATTTAATGGAGCTCAAAGGATAGAATTTTTGTGAACCTTAAAGATTTTGAGTTATAATAATAAACTTTCATACAAAATCTATCAATTCTGAGTAGGAGTCTGAGTTTTGCCCGAAATTTTGTTGAGATTGTCAAAATCAAAAAAATTAATTGGCTTCAGATTGGTTACAACCAAAACCTTCTAAACTATAGAATAGAATCAAGTTTCTTCGATGGCAGTATAATTATATTCATTGAAGTGTCTGAATCTCAATACGATGGAGATTTTCGAGTCTCCTTAAGCCATATCTTACATTCTTTAAAAAAAAAAAAACTTGAATAGGCTTTGCATCAAGCTCTTATGAGGCAAGATGAACTGTTGGCATACATTGATTTTCAGGAAGAGGCTAAATTTCGGGTTAGTAGAAGCTCCATTTATAATTTTGGCATTGTCCACTTCATTTGATTGTTCCATGTCTCTTACTGTATATTTATTCATTTGTTTTTTTTTTTTTTTTTTTTTTTTTTTTGTAGAAGAGGAAGTTTTGCTTTTGATCACTAATGATTTGTTAAGAGAAAATAGTTTCTGACAGGTGATAGAAGGGGCTTTTCCTTCTATCGCCAACTCAAAGAGAGAGGAGATTTAAGAGAGAGTGTGAAGAACAGAATGATTAATTTCTTTATCCTATTCACTCTCTTTTATTATACACAGATTTATGTTTGTTCCTTATTAAACATTTATTTGTTTGAGACAGTGATATGTTTTTTTTTTTAAATATAATTTCACATACTGTGATTTGTTTCCATCATTGTTTTGAGAGAATTTGATTGGAAGATTCTGATTGTTTTGAGTACTTTAGTGTCTAATTTATGATAAATTTCTTGCTATATGTTTTTTTAAAATTTTCCTTTCAATTTTTAGATATGAAAAAGCTGATTCAAACCATTTGATTGGGCTATGAGAGCATATTTTTAATTGGGAGGTTTGATTTTATGTGCCTCATAATATTAAAAATTGGAGATTTATTCATGAAAGTTTATTTCAGACCAGAACACTTGCTTTTAATCCCCAAAGTACATATTTACCGTCTGTTACTATCAAAATTTGGTCCGAATAAGCTCCTAACATGATTCGGACGAGGGTAGAACCATATAGCAGTAAAGTTTGGGTTCATGTTTGAACATTAATTGAGTCTTATTTGAATAAATGTTTGAAGCTTATTTGAACTTGATTGAACAAAGTTAAGAGCAAGATTTGAATATTATGCCATTATTTTTCAATCATTGTATAAATATGGTTCTAACAAGATTTCAAGAATGATTGAATAAGCTTCAAATATTATTTGAGTAAGGTTTCAATGAAATTTGAATGTGGAGCAAACAAAGTTGGAGTATGGCACGAACATTGATCAAGTAAGTATTAAGGTTTGAATGAAATTTAAACATGGATTATAACATATTATCACAATACTAACAAAATGAATTATCAGAGATTTAAAATAATAGTATAATAATTATAGCACATTTAAATCCCAAAAATTATAACATAGTAGATTATGATTATGAGAGATCGAACATAATATCACAACATTTATAATATAATACAACAACTATAAGATGAATACAATAACAATAGTTATAATGCAAGAGATAAAAGTTTTCATAATCAAATTTATGATTAATGGGAAGGATTGGAACTCCGTAAGCTATGCTTTTGAAGATCATAAACTCTGAAAAGTATTCCATTATAAAACGCTCA